CGCGCGCTTGCCCGCCTGGTGCCGGGCGTAGATGACGAACAGCACGGGCGGCGCCGACAGCAGCAGGATGTGGAAGAGCCAGAAGCGGTAGTGCGACACCGGGAAGGCGCGGTCGTAGCACGTCTGGCGGCAGCCGGGCTGCAGCGTGTTGCACACGAACTCCTCCTGCTCGTCCTCGAACACGGCGCCGCCCACCGTGGCCAGCACCAGGATGCGGAAGATCAGCATGACCACCAGCCACAGGCGGCCCAGCAGCGGCGACTGCAGCTGCACGGCGTCCAGCAGCGAGCCCAGGAAGGCCCACTCGGCCATGGCGCGGGCGCTGGGGACGCGGCGCACCGTCGGGGAGGCCCGGCTGCAGGCCTTGGGGCCCGGGGAACAGAGGGCGCCCGCACCTCGGGGCGAGGAGCCCGGGGGAGCCTGGCGCCCGCCCGCCCCCTGAGGCCTTCGCCCTCCGGACCCCGACCCTGGGGAGCCCCGCCGCCCTTTGGGGGAGCCCGAAGCCCCCTTCCCTCCTTATCTCGCGCCGTGTCTCGTGCCCCGCTGCCTGAACTCAGGACCCGGCTCACACCAAGGGGGCCCCAGTTCCTCGCCCCCGCGCAGCCCCGCACGTCCCGGCGGGGCCCCGACGCCCCCAGACCCGCAGCCGACCCCACTCACCCTGGGCCCGGGCCGGGCCTTCAAGGCGAAGCGCGGCAGCCGGGGCGCCGGCTGGGACCTGTCCCTCCCGGTCCCTCTTTCATTTTCCCTTTCGGGTCTGGCCGCGGCCAGGATGGAGGACAGGACAGGGTGCCTGAGGGGCGCGCTCCCCCTTCTCTTAAAGGGACAGACAGGGTGACCCTGCGGGTGGCGGCTCCACCCTGGCTGGGCTGTTTCCACCCCTCCCACTCCAGCCGCGTCCCGGGCTGCCTCCACCTGCACACGGGGATGGGGTCACCCGGAGCCACATCCTGTGCGGAGGGGACCTGGGATCCGCCGCAGCCCACCGGCCCCCGCGTCAGGGCTGGTGATGGGGCGGCATCTTGGGGCGCTGCTCCTGCGAGGCCCGGCTCTCCTGGCTGTCACCCTCGGAGGCCCGGCCAGCCGTCCCCAAGTTTTGATCCGTCCAGCTGCGCTATACTGAAGTCCCCACCGTGTGACCAGGAAAGCACCATGTGGAAAAACCCCGGGGCCAGCGTTGGTCCTGAACAAAGGCTTCGCCTTCCTTCCTGTTCTCGGGGTTGCAGTTACCAGGGTGAACATCTTGGTTGGTTGGCTGGATTTTTAAAAAAGAGTCAGGCAGTGTAGCTCAGGCTGGCCTTGAACTCGTGATCTTCCTGCCTCAGCCTCCTGAGTGGTGCGATCACAGATGTGCGCCACTGTGCCTCCCGGAGGTCGGGATGGAGGTCCCCTCTGACTGCTCTGGAAGAGGTGAGGGATGGGGACTCCGCGGGGGGAGGTTCTGTCTGCCCCACCTGTGCAGCCTCCCGTTCACCTGGGCACCTGCTGGGCTGGGGCCTTGGTAGAGCCCCACAACCCCTGCCGGAGGGCACTGTACAGCGGGGAAGCTGAAGCAGGAGGGTCGTGCAGTCGGTACACAGCAGGGCCCAGTCTGCACTAGCATGGCTGACTTTCGCAGGGGACATCCTGGGCCCGACTGACCCCGGACCTTGCCTAAGACCGGCAGGTGCAGTCGTGGAGGTGCCCCCCTCCTTGGTGACACGTCAGTCACAGGGACCTGTGTGCTTTTCCATCTGTGGACGGGACCCCGCGATGTTCAGGAAGGGCTGGGAAATGTGCCCCTGGGCCAGGCTGGAAACACGGGGCTAAGCCCTGCTGGGCGCCACCGGTCACCTTCTGCCCTCTGCAGAGGTCCCCTGGGCGGGACGCAGCCCTGGACAGAGTCCAAAGGTAGCGGCCGAGCCCGGGGCCCCCAGGCGGGAAACAGGACGTGCGGCGGGGGCGCCGCGGGGTCCCTGTGGCCCAGCCTGGAAAAACCCAATCCGACCCCGCCCGTCTGTGGGGTGGGCGGCTGGGAGCCGAGATCCCCCGCACTGTCCCTCGGCCTGAGGCCACACAATCTCCTTCCCGATAGCGCAGGTGTTGCTGATGCTGCGCAGAGCCGGGCACCGCCGCGCGCCCCTGCACCCGAACGCCGCGCGGGCGCCTGGACCCGGCGAGTACCGAGCTGCCGCCGCCGTCTGCGCACGGCTGGACTTTCTGTGTCCTGCGCCCCCCAGCATTTAGAAGTCATTTATTTTCAGTACTGGGGTTGGAACCCAGGGCCTTTGTGGTGAGCTCCATCCCGAGCCCCGTTTTAGTTTTTAGTTTGCGACAGGGTCTTAGCTAAGTCACTAAGTTACCCAGGCTGGGCTTGAACTTGTGATCCTTCTGCCTCAGCCTCCTGAATGCTGCCGTGACAGGCATGTTGCATTAAGCCTGGCTTTAGTTCTTTTCCAAGTGGGTTTCTTGCAAGAAAACTCACAAGGGCCTGAGGTCACGCCAGCTATCACCCCGGGCCAGAGTCCTGCTGAGCAGGAATTGGCCACCACCTCACACTCACTTACGTCCACCTTGCGATTGCCACCGACATTGAAGACCACGCAGCGCGTGGGAGGCGTGAGCACTGGGCCATTGGTTTTGGTGAAGATCCCTGCCCAAGGCTCTGGTCTAGAGATGGTTTAGTCAGCATCACAGCTGTCCAGAATCATGCAAATTGGGGGTGGGGTGGGGGAAAGGGCAAAGCTTGGGAACACTTGTCCTCTGGGGTGTTGTACAGAGAAAAGTACAAGCCGGGCATGGCAGTCATGCCTGGCACCCCAGCACTTGGGAGGCTGAGGCAGGAGGATCGCCCTGACTTGATCTAGACCCTGTCTCAAAAAAAAAAAAAAAAGACCTCCATGTGACTTTGTGGCAGCACACGGACCTGAGGACACGCTGTCCACTCTCCAGCACCCGGGGTCTTTGGTTTCCTCTCCACCCGCGCAGATTGCAGAGCTTTGGCATGTGTGGGAAAGAGAACATCTGTGATCAGTTCCTGGCTGGGCCCCGGTTCCTCCCTCAGAATCGGAATCCGTATGTTACTTTTATGACCAGAAAAAAAGAGATATCATTTTCATTTTGAAAGAAAATATTTGCTATTTTTGTAAACTATTGGAAAAGTCCAAAAAAAGAAAATAAAACCCACCCAAATCGCATCCGGAGAAGCAGCTGATGTTCCGCTATGACCTGTGATGTGACCTATTGGTGTGGCCGGCAGTGGTTCTCAACATCACCATGGGCTCCTGTCCTAGCACTCTGGGAGGCTGAGGCAGGAGGATCACAGGGCAAGTCCAGCTCGGTCAATTTTGTGACACCATCTCAAGATAAAAACAAGTCCCAGGGTTCTGTCTCCAGTGTCACAAATCCAAGTGCTTCTGAGTCAGCAGGTCTGGACAGGCCCAGCAGTGTCTACTTAGCTATTCCCATTTTTATGCTTCTTCTTTTTTTTTGGTACCGGAAATCGAACTCAGGACCTTATGCTTGCAAGGCAGGCGCTGTGCCACTGAGCTATCTCCCCAGCCCCCAGCAGTCTGTAGAATGCTCATGGGTGTTGAGAAGCCTGGGTTCGCAGTTCTTAATGACTTGGCATTTGGTTTACGCCTTTGTGATTCCGAGTAGGGTCCACAACCTGTGGCACTGACATCCCTTGGGAACTTCTTAGAAATGTGGACTTCAGACCCCTGAACAGTTTGTAGTCAGGTCTAGTGCACACACCTGTCATCCTGGCACTTGGGAGGCTGAGGCAGGATTGCTGCATGTTCAAGGCAGCCTGAGCTACATGGAATCTCTGTGTCAAAAAGAATTTGTAAGCACTGATTTGAGTAGGAGTGCTTTCTATTTTGAGCACTATACTATATAGTATAGCTTCTCCCTACTTCACTGATACAATTTACACACAGGAAGAAGGCCCTTGTTTGGTTAGATGAGTTTTGATACAATTATTCAGGATCCTTTTGTTTTAGATGGGATTTCACTTTGTCATCCAGTCTGGCCTCCAACTTGTGGCGATTCTCCTTCCTCAGCCTCCCAAGTGCTGGGATTACTTGCGTGCCTGTAATCCCATACTTGGCTCAGTGAATGCTACTGGACATTTTTTTTGTTCAGATTTTTAATTTTTTTTGTACTGGGACTTGAACCCAGGGCTTTTGCCAATGTTGCAGTATATCCCCATCCTCTTTTTAAAGTTTTCAGACAAGGTCTCACTAAGTTGCCCAGGTTGGGCTGGAACTTTTGATCTACCTGCCTCAGCCTCCCCAAGTGCCTGGATTACAGGTATATGCTCACACCTGATTTAAGAGGGTTTTTTTTTTTTTCTGGTACCGGAAATCAAACTCATGACCTTGCGCTTGCCAGGCAGGTGCTGTGCCACTGAGCTATATCCCCAGCCGTGATTTAAGAGTTTTAACATTTGAATAACTTTATAATTTCTGGGTGTGGTGGCACATGCCTGTAATCCCAGCTCTGAGAAGGCTAAAACAGGAGGCTTTCAGTGAGTTCGAGGGTGGCCTGGGCTACATGGAGACTCTGTCTCAAAAAAAAAAAAAAAAACAAAAAAAATCTTAGATGGAGGGGTGTAGCTCAGTAGCAAAGTGCTACCTAGCACAAGTAAAGCTCTGAGCGAAGCTGAGCTTGATCCACAGCACTAAAACATTTTCATTTTTAAAAATACTGTACTTGACCTTAATTTTAGTGTGAGATGTGATGAAAGAGAGGTTTATTTAGCACTTTCCCCCTAAATGGGTTAGCCAATTGCACAAGTACAATTTATAGATACCATCAGGCAGGTTGATCAGAATGTCAAACTAGTTATTAAAGGAAGGAATCATTTTTTTGAGGCAAGGTCTCACTATGTAGCCCGGCCCCAAACTCACAGCAATCCTCCTGCCTTAGCCTACTGGAGTGCTGGTATTACAGGTGGCACTACCATGCCTGGCTTGGAAATCATTTTAAAAGATATATACAGCCTGGTGTGGTGGGGCACATCTGTAATCCCAGGATTTGGGAGGCTGAGGCAGGAGGATCATTGCAAGTTCAAGACCAGCCTGGGCTAAGAAAAAAAAAAAAGACCAGCCTGGGCTACAAGGTGAGCTCAAGGCCACCCTGAACTGTATAGCAAGACCCTCTCTTAAAAAAAAAAAAAAAAAAAACAAAAAAACCACAAAAAAAAAAACCAAAAAAACCTTATTGGCCACACTTGCTGGTGCACATGTGTAACCCCAGGATTTGGGATGGCTGAGACAGAAAAATTGCAAGTTTGAGTTCCACTGGGTAATTTAATAATTTATCTCAAAATAAATGATGAAAAGTGGCTTAGAGTATAGTTAGTTTGAAGGCCCTCAGTTTAATCCCCAAGACTGCAAATAAAACCCAAACCAAATCCTATTTAAATTAAATGGAGCCAGGCATGGTGGTACACGCCTGTAATCCCAGCACTTGGGATCCTCCTAGGCAGGAGGATTGTTGTGAGTTTGAGACCAGCCTGGGCTACAAAGTGAGCTCAAGGCCAGCCTAAACTGCATTGACCCTGTCTCAAAAAGGCAAAAATAAATAAATAAATAAAAATGGGGTATGGCAGTGATGAAGAATTTAACAGCCATGTAAAAGTTCCCTGGGAAAGTATTTATTGTTCTTAGCTGGGTGTGGTGGCACACAGCTGTAATCTCAGAGCTCAGGAGGCTGAGGCAGGAGGACTGCTTTGAGTTTGAGGCCAGCCTGAACTACATAGTGAGTTCAAGGCCAGTCTGAACTACATAGTAAGCCTGTCTCAAAAAACCAAAACGAAAAAGAAAAAATATTTATTGTAAACCATGGAACCCAGCTCTTGGACCCAGCACTAAGCCCATCAAATGAACAGTCTGAAAAGGACTTATTTTAACATAAGCTAAAGGCCTACTTAGTACAGGTTTTTAAAAAGGGCAAGCATAAGTTGTGATGTTTAGAATAGTTTATTACAGTATGAAATTTCTGGAAATGAGCTAAGACACAGTAAATATTTACAGGAACATTGAGAACATCACTCAAGGAACACATAGCAACGCAAGAGGGTCTTTAAAAGAGGGTTTACAGGTTAAACTGGGGAGACTTCCCAGGACAGACTGAGCAGCCGCTGCCGAGCGCGGCTCCACGCTCTCTGCTCCGGCAGATTCCGACCCGGCTGCAGGGCACAGGCCAGTAGAGGCGGTCGTGCTGGCGTCACCCCGTCCCGCGGACTATGGTGAGGTCACGCAGACGTAGTTGAGGTGGTTTTCTTTAGCCTCTAGTGAATTTAAACAGATATGAGCAATTTTTCATTGCTTAAGCAAAATTCAGCCCAGAAAAGGTGGAGCAGAGAGTATTTACATGAGAACTATCAAGTTCTATCTGAGGGGTACGACCTGTGAAGTCACAGTAAAACACAACTGGTCACGCTCTGCCTCAGGGTTAGTGGGAACAGGGACGGAGTGACACTTTAGGTGAAAGCGCTCCGCTTTTAGAGGAGTTGGCAAAATGTCTTATGCTGCAGTGACCACGTAACTCGCTGAGTCCGGGAGGAAATCAGCACGTTTTAAGGATCAAGGAGAACACGCAAGACAAGGACAGGACAGGGAGACAGAGCCAGCGCACCGCGCTCCAGCCGACGGGCGCTTAGGCTCTACTTCCCAGGGTGCCGTTTCACTGTTTTTTGATGATGGTCCTGCTTTAAAAGTACCTTCCCAAACTCAACTCCGAGGAAGGAAATGAAGACCCTCAGGGAACTTTTAAACCAGTCTTGGGCTCAGTAAAACCATTCCATAAAATAATCACCACAATTCAAAACAGGTCGTCTTCATCGGACTCTTCCAGGTACTTTATAGGCTTCTTGGCGCGTCCGGACTTCGCCCGAGGAGCCACCGCCGCGTGCAGGTCCAGGTGGAAGTCGTCGCTCTCCCCCTTGGGTTTCTAGAGAGAAAGGCCGAGCGCTCTGCACAGTGCACGCCCGACAGCGTAATTTCTACCTCGCAATTCAGGCTTTTCTTTCTTTACTAAGTGGTAAGAAACAGGTCCAAGGTGACTGTCTCATGGCTTAAATAAGGTCATTAACTTTGTGACAACTAAATTATACACAGGAAACACTAATGGGTTAGGAATTCACAGTATTTTCTCAAAGATATGTCAAATCAAGAGCAAGTGCTCAGGTGTTTCACAACACCCAGAGCATGCTGGGCATCGGGGCGCACTACTCTAATCCCAGCTCTAGGGAGGCTGACGCAGGAGGGTTCCAAGTTTGAGGCCAGACTGGGCAACTTATTGAGACCCTGTCTTAAATTTCAAAAAGGGCTGGAAATGCAACCCTGTGGAACAGCACCCCTGGATTCAATCCTCAGAAGCACCCCACCTCTTCACAGATCCCCCGACAGCAACAAAAACACAACAAAAGGATAAAACAGGGATACATACCTTGCTTATGGCTCCTTTAGAAATGATTTTCTCAAAGTTAGAATCAGAATCGTCAGACGTGGATGGTTTCCTTTTGCGTCGATTCTTGGTTTTGGCGGGCTCAGGCTTCTGGGACGCCTCAGGCTTCTGGGACGCCTCAGGCTTCTGGGACGCCTCAGGCTGCAAGGCTGGGTCCTTCTTGGCTCCTCTCGGTGCTGCCCTTTTTTTGGTGTCAGCAGTGGAGGCAGCAGACCGACCTGCGAGCCAACCCAGGCATCCGTCAGGGTCATTCTGTGTGGGGTTTCTCACCATGCACTTTGTTTAGCGACTGGATGACTGAGGACATGTGCTTCAGGAAAAGACAATCTGACAGGACTAGAAATATTTTAGAGAACCAAAGGACTCTGAAGCATTCAATTTTTAAATTATGTTGTAAGACTGAACACTTGCAACTGCTTCTCAGCCCTTTTCCTGTTATAGAAATGAGCTAGATAATGGCTGGAATTCTGAGAAACATGCTAATTTTCAACTTCCTGACTATTGCTTACGAAGATCTAAAAGAAATTGCTTCCATTTGAAGAAGGTCTAACTGCAATGTCAACTGTAAGTTTTTAGGGAAAAAAATGAAATCGACTTGGGGCAGCCAGTGAGTCAGCTCTGGCGTGGACCCGTCTCAGAGACCCGGGGTTACCTTTGCCTGCCGTCTTCTTCACAGGCACGCTTCCTTCAGGAGGTGGCTTTGTCACTTCGCTTTTGGCAGGGAACTCGGCAGAAGGGCCGGAGGAATCCGGCTCCCTGTCCTCCGCATCCTCCGCCTCAGGGCCAGTTACTTCAAAAGGCAAGGAGAGGAGTAGAAGCAACACATGAGAAGCCACGCACTGCTTGTCCCACCTGTGAACTTCTGTTTAAACATTCTTGCAACACTTTCACCACACTCCTACAACTCTGTTCTAATTTCTGAATTCTTCACCCCAAGAACCCTTCTTCTTTTTAGTAGCTCTAGTGCCTAGCGTAGTACCTGGTTAGTGCTGTGTGTGGTATTTCAAATGTAGAACATATTCACGTATAGAACTCACCCTAATAAGCTATAGCAATAGAGTGCCAGTGAGAACTTGAGTTCCTCTTCAAAGTACCTGGACACCGTGGCTGAGGTTAGAACGAGTGGGACCTGAATGTCCCAGTAAGAGCAGACATCTTACTGTTTTTATTAAACACATACCTGACACGGTGCTTTTCTGTGGCTTTGGTTCTTTTTTAGTAAGTCTAAAAAAAAAAAAAAAAAAAAATCCTGACAACCAACTCTTCAGTGTATCAACAACAAAAATCACATAGCCTATTATTAAGAACAATGCTGACAAAACCCATCTTATTTTATTTTTTTTTGGTTTTTCTCCGGTACCGGGAACCGAACTCATGACCTTGCGCTTGCCAGGCAGGCGCTTTTTGCCGCTGAGCTAAATCCCCAGCCCCAACCCATCTTAAACACACGCACTTGGGGAGAGTTTTGGCCTGAGGAGGACCAGCATCCGAGGGGACAAAATCGTCGTCTTCAGTCTTTTCATCAGAATCTGAGAAATCTTCATCTGAATCCAAATCCATTGTGAACTTGGTTTTTGCTGTTAAAATATACATGTATAAGGAATCAAGAGGCAATAAAACCACTTACACACACACACGGATATGACACTTCATGAATATGCAAGCTTCTAGCTAATCTCCTAAAAGATGTTTCGGTCTTTCAAATATTTAGTATAATTTACCACGCTAAGAAATAATTTCTATCAAGATCAGCCGGAACTACATAGCGAGACCCTGTCTCAAAAAGACCAAAAAAATATAGTAACTTCTGGGATTAAGCACCCTCGAGTGACTGGGCGCTCACGTCTTTCGGCGCGATCTGGCGTCTCCTCCAGCTTCCTCACCTGCAGTCCTCCGCGGCTCTACTTCTCGTGTCGGGACATCAAAATTACTTTCAGCGCTACTCACATCTGATTCAGAATCAGACCAGGGGTTCCTCCTCTTTCCTTTTTTGATAGGTTTAAATGGCAGTGTAGTTTGTTTCTTTGCCTTGGCACCTAGAAGGGAGGGAAATCACTCACTGGTACACATCAGGCTCCGCTCTCTACCCCGCCTGCTCCCCCACGCTTCAGATGTTCGCTGGGCGCTGTGGGGTGCTGGGACCGCAACGCTGAGGACTCGCTGCCGCAGCCCGCTCTTGCAGACAGACGCTCGGGCAGCATCGGCACCCTGTGCGTGAGGCGCGATGCACACGCGATGCACACGCGATGCACACGTGGAGCCAGGCTCCTCTCAGAAAGACAGGCCTGAGCTGAGGCCTGGGTGTGCGACGGGAGTTAGCCGGTTCTGGGAGAGGGGCGATGAAACTGCAGAGGAGACAGCACACGCACAGCCCTGGGAGGGGCCCGAAAGCAGAGGTCAGGGAGGGGCTGGTCTTGCCCAGCGGGGCTCCTCTGCCTTTTAAAGCGCCTTCCCGACTGTGGTGTGGAGATGGAAAGGGCAGGAATAGATGCGAGACGGGCGCCGAAGCCCAGGCAAGGGGCGCGTTCAGAGGGGAAGCGGCCGGTGCCCACTCCTGCAGGGGAGCTTAATGGAATAGGACGCTTCATCCACCGCGCCTAGTTAGCTAGAAGTGCGCTCTAACAGCCTGGGGAGTATCTTCTTCGATCCTAGCTAAGGCATTCAAGGTGTCAAACCAATGAGCTATCTCATTTAAAAATGATCTCTTCTAGAACGAGCCAAATCCCAAGGCCATGATAAGGATGGCCCAAGTATAAGGCAGACGCGGTCCTCCTCCTCGCCACTCACTCCAACTCAACAAAACACGCGGAACGTGGCAGCACTGACAAACACACCTTCATCTTTGCCTTCTGTCACTGAAGTTAAAATGTTGTAATACCTGCTTCTCTTTTCTGTTTCTTTTCTAGTCTTTGTTTCAGGCTTTCCAGTTCCACACTGTCCTCCACAGGGGTTCCTTCAGTATTTTCACTCTAAAAGTCAGCAAGACAAAGAGGTCACATTCTGCCATCTTATTATTGGGAATAACAAACAGTTAAATATTATATGGTCAAAGACTGTTTCTTCTTTGGGTTTTGGTTAAGAGCTCTGAATAGGTCCAGCATGGCGGCACATGCCTGTAATCCCAGCACTCGGGAGGCTGACGCAGGAGGACTGCTTTGAGTTCAGGGCCAGCCTGGGCTACATAGTGAGACCCTGTCTTTAAAAGAAAAAA